CCCCCACACCTTTCTTTTTTTCGGACACTCTGGGGGGGTTTTTGGAACAAAGTTCTTGGGTTCCCCCCCCGTTCCCACTAAGAAACATTTTGGTCACTCTTTGGGCCAAACCAATCTTGGTTTTTTTTTTTTCCCAAAGGTCCCCAACCACCCCCCCCAAATAAACCTTTGCATCCCTAAAAAACCCCCTGGGATGGGGAAAAACAAAAACCCCAAAACAGGCTTTCTCCAAACTAAAATGGCCCCCCCGCCACTGGGAATTTCAAAAGTGTCCCCTTTCCCCCCTTTGTAAAAAACATTATCCCCCCTTTTTCCCCTCCCCTTACCCCCAGAAAAGCCCCCAAAAGAATTAGTTTATCCCCCTTTTTTTCTCTTTTTTTTTTTTTTTTTTTTTTTTTTTTTTTTTTTTGAGACGGAGGTCCCCCTCATTCGCTCCCCCTGTCGCACAAGGCCCCCCCTTTGGGAAAAAGTGGGCCAGTGGGCCCCGGCATCCCTTCCTGCTCACTTTGCCCCAAAAAAGGCTTTTTCTTTGCCATCCCCCCCAGGTTTTTTTTTTTTTTTTTTTTATGCCAATTTTCCCTTCCCGCTCAGCCTCCCCGAGGTACAAACCCCCTTGGGGAACCTACCTGAAGGTTTTGCCACCGGCAAACCTTTCGCCCCCAAGGCCCCTAAACAGTTTTTTTTTTTTGGGTAAATTGTTTTTTTCTTTTACAGTAGAGGAACCCGGGGGTTTTTCCCGCCCCACTTGGTGGTTTTGTTTTAAAAGCCCAGGGGGGAAAAAAATTGCGGTCACCCCTTAGACTTCCCCGCCCTTGACCTTTTTTTTTTTGTTTGGGATTTCCCCCCGCCCCCCCCCCGTACCCTCGGCCCCTTCCCAAAAAAACACGTTGCCCCCTGGGGATTTTTTTAAAACAGGCCCTTGTTGAAGCCACCCCGGCCCCCCAGGGCCCCCCCCCCCCCCTGGGGATTTATTTCCTTTTTTTTTTTTCCCTTTTTTAATAACCAAAATTCTTTTCTTCTTTTGCTTTTTCAAACAAACCTCCAAAGCAAATGGCTTTTTTTTTTTTTTTTTTCCTTTTTATTTGGGCCTTATAAAGAAAAATTGTCCCCCCCCCCTTTTTTTAAAAACCGCCAATATCCCTTTTTTTTTTTTTTAAGGTCCTTTTAACAAAAAAAAATATCCCTTTTTTTTTTTTAAGAAGCTTAAATTGGCCCGGGTTTTTGGGGGCGGGGTGGGGGCCTTTCATGCCCTGTTTAAAAAGTCCCCAGCAAACTTTTGGGAGGCCCCCCACGAGGGGGGGGGTTCGTTAAATCAACCTGAAAAAAAAAGGTGAAAGGAAAAGTTATCCCCAAGACCCCAAGCCCCCTGGGGGCCCCCTCCCCCAAACATTTTGTGAACCCGCCAAATTTTCCTTTCCTTAAACCCCTTCAAGGATACAAAAAAAATTTTACCTTTGGGGACCCGTTTTGGGGGGGGTGGTGGGGGAATTGCCCCCCCTGGTAATCCCTAAGCCTTAACTTTCGGGAAACTTGCTGAGGCCCCAAATGGGAGGGAAATTTTCGGCTTTTTGGAAACCTGGGGAAAAGCCCCTTTTTTTTTTTGAGGTTTTTTTTTGCCGAGTGGAACGCCCTTTAAGGATTTGGGGCGTGGCCCCCAATTTAAAAAGCCCCAAAACTTTCCCCTAGGCCCCCCTGGGCCCCCCAAAAAAAAAAAACCCAAGAAGTTGGAAACTCCTTTGGGGTTTCTCCAAAAAAACAACAAAAAAAAACAAAAAAAAAAAAAGAAAGGATTGGAGGTCCCCCTTCGAATTGGCCCCCCCTCCCCTAATCTTTTTCCCCAAAAATGCCCCCCAAGGGGTCCCCCTTTCCCCCCCAGCCAAGTTAAACTTTTCCCCACCCCCTAAAAAGCCCTTTTGTGTGGCCTCCTTCCCCCCAAAACCTGTGGGGAACCCCCTTGACCCCAGAGGCCCTTTTTTTCCCTCCCCTCCTTTTCTTTCCCCAAGGTTCCTTCCCCCTTGGGGCCCCTTTTGTTCCTGGGCCTCCCATTTTTTCGGCAGTTTTAATCCCCCCTGGAAATCTCCATCTTGTTTCCCATCCTGTTTCCCCAAAATTCCCCCCCAACAAATCTTTAAAATTCTCCCCCCCCTAAAAAACCCGTTTGTTTTTAGCTCCCCCCCCAAAAGTAACAAACCCACTTCCTGGGGGGCCCCTCAGGAGCCCCCCCCCCCTGCTTTAAGGCCCCTTTGTTTAAAAGTAAAAACCCCCTAAGTTTGGGGGGGTTAACAAGGAAATGTTTTTTTTTTTCCCCCCCCCCCAAGCATGGATTTTTTTGGACAATTCCAAATTGCCTTGTTTTTTACTTTTAACCAGTTTGGGTCCAATTATAGGTTTAAGTGCTTTTAGAGAGTTTTGGGGGAACCCAGAACCCCCTCCCCAAACAGCCTTCCTTTCCCCACCTAAATCCCAAAGGAATTCAAAAAAAGTCCCCCCCCCAATCTTTGGGGCCCTTTTCCTGTTCGCCCCACCAGGCCC